ATAGTCTTGTGGCTTAAAATTTTGTAAAAAGGTAATGTGTAAATGTATATTACATTCCCAAAGCTCAGGACATAAGTTCAATAACATAATGAGTGGTCACACCCGTGTTGTAGTAGATATATATCTGCTTTGTAATCTGCAAGGTGTTCTGACTGCCAGCCTTCTGTAAACACACTGTAAAGCGAATGAGTATAATCTGGGCAGTAGGTTATTATTACACTTGTATCCACTTGTATTTGTGTGTGTAAAGTATTTTAGTCCAGTGGTTAAAGTGGTCGCTAGTCGAGGTTCGAGTCCCCAAATGGATACAACATGTGAAACTGATCTGAGGTGTTCTCAGCCGTGCTATTACTGCAATATTGCTAAAAGTAAGGCAAGTAAAAATACTCACTCGCAAACTTTTATCTTAATCGCAGCCTACATAACTACAACTTAATTTCCGATGAATATTTATCCAGGTCCTGACTTATACTGAAGATATATACTGATACTTAAAGCAAAGGACTCGGGTAGCATAGTGGTCAAAGTGTTGGCTCGTCACTCAGACGATTCGGGTTCTCAAATCAATGTGTGAAATGTATTTCTAATGTCCCTATGAGCGGTGGTGTAGCCTAGTGGTTAAGGGTTCGCTCGTCTCACAAAAGACCCGGGCTCGATTCCCCACTTTGGAACAGTGTGAAGCCCACCTCTGGTATCCCCCGTCGTGATATTGCTGCAATATGGCTAAAAGCTGGGAAAACGAAATTCACTCACTCACTCTAATGTCCACAGTTGTGATATACTGCTAAATGCCGCGTAAAAGAATATCCGGTGACCCATTCATTCATTCACACACTCACTCACACACTCACTTACACACTTCAGATATATATTTCTGAAAATACCCTCTGAACAAAGTTCTTTAAACTTTGGTAAATCCTATTTTCAGCAAGCCGATTATTCCATATGGTGTTTTCCTTACGGTAATCAGTAAAATGAAGACGGGCCAATAAGAAGCACCCTACTCCAATCCGTAGTAATATGGCTTTCTCCGTACACGATGGAAGCCCAGCGATAAGGTTATATATAGATATGGGGGAGAAGTATGAATGAAAGACAGCTACCATTGTGACGTAGGTTATGCCCCCGCTGCTAAATATAACTCTAATATCTTCTCTGTGATTGTAACTTTTCATCTGTGTAAATATTGTCAGATACAGACGATTCCAGCGCTCAGTGTGTCAATCGTTGCGTTGTTCCGTGGACGGAGGCTGACAACCCCTCCCTTCTCGGTCTGATAATCCACGAACTACCACTTCCTTTATAGCGCTCACACCCTCTATTACTACAAACAACACGTTCCTGGTGATCTTCAGTGTGCGTTAAAACATAGGCTTTCTTTCAGTTCAATGTTGCAAAAAGATTTTATCAGTTTGCGGTAGTTATATTTGGGGATTTTATTTGTCAATTATCTTATCTTTAATCATCAATTTTCACTCATTCAGAAAAAGAGTTTAGGATCGGGGATATTTATAGCCGCCTTCTAGACTTTGTTACTTGTGCTTTGTGTGTTGGAAATAAGACGTTTCCATCTATTTCTGTAGATTAGAATTCAAGTAGGAAGTCTGCTTTGTTGATTTGTTGTTCGTAAGAGTTGTAAAACATTTCATTTGTGTTTTGTTTTATATTTGTTGGGTTGTTGTTGGGTTGTTGTTTTTTTGGGGGGGTTGTGTATTTGGGTTTATTGGGAGTTTCTTCGGGGTTGGTATTTTTGTTGGTTTTGTTTGGGTTGTACATTTGTTATTGTTTGTTTTGGTTACTTGTTGTTTTTGTTTTGTTTTGTTTTGTTTTTTGTTGTTGGGTTCTTTTGTCTTTTGGTCTTTTGGTTGTTGTTGTGTTTGGGGGGTGGCTGATTGGGTTTAATTGAATGAGAATGTTTAACAGCTTTAAGCTATATTCTCGACACCGAAAATGAGATTTAGTAATTGAAGAAAACGAACCGGGCGATCAACGTGAGGAGATTGATTTAAAAACTAGGGTACCCACTGTCTTGCACAATGAAGTGACTGCTTCATACTCTTTCTGACAGAATGTATGAATGACATATCAGATTAAACACAGCTTCGAAACTGTAGCAGAAAAGCAATTCCTTGCGCACAACAAGCACATTTTTTTTAAATAAGTAAAAATACGTTTCTTGAATGAAAGTCGGAGAGTAAGATCGTTTTATATTCAAATTTCATTTGTCATCCTATATGTTTCTTGGATTAAAGTCGAAAATATGTTGGTGAAACACGTATATATACATTAGTAATAACAAATTAGAAGATAAATTACGAATATTGGTTACAGAGAGTCCAACACAAAGTTTTTCCCCAAATCTTCATTAGGTGCAAGTCTAAAGGAGACAGGTGTCACGCGTTTACCACTTTGGTAAATCCACGATCACGGATCTGGCGTCGAGAAACCTGGAAACATAATATGGTCGAAACGGGATTCGAACCCAGACAAATAAATGAGCTTCGAACAAAATCAGCATTATACAGTTACATTTAACTTCACTAATCTGATATACCTGAATTATTTTAAATACCTGATATATTTTAATTACATCAATCGCAAAACATCCCTGAAACGTTATACAGGTAAATATTTCTTGAAGATCGGTTCCTGAATTTAGTTTACTGAGGAACACAAATCGATTGATACAAATTATAATAGCTTTCATCGATGTTCAGTATCGGTTTCATCAGTATGTAGTTTACAGATGGAGGATGAAACTGCTTGTCACGAAGATAACTGATGATGTATCTGCATCTCCCATGTTCAAATTACCTTGGTTGCATGATCTGCTTACTGAAATAAGACACAAACAGATTCCATAAATGTTGTATAATGGACAGTGACATATGCACCTAAATATATATCACATCCAATTTGTTTTCAAGGTTATCTCTCTTTCAATACAGGCTTCGTGACAAAATGACAACAGATTTAGGGCGAAATACGAACACGATCGAAGGTAAAAGCACATGTTATAGAACACAGGAAATTATTTTCATCTATCGGAACTGTGGGAGTTTTATTACACAACGTATTTTCCGAAAGTATTTCTATCCTCGCACACTTCTTTCGCAACATGCATGAAGTCCTTTTCAGGAAACAAAGTCAATTATGCCTGTTGGCGTAAAAAGAAATCTTTGAATTTCCAGGATGTATGTTCCCACATTCCAAGAGTAGATCCGCTCGTGTTCAAAGACAAACGCCAACACACATTGTGAAGTCAAATCTTAGCATTACCGAAAGGATACCTTTGAAGTTATGAACAAATAATTGGAGACTTGGGTTGTCTGAGGAGAACCTAGTGATAAGTAATACATACATCTTTCTTACTGTATCAAACGTTGGGAAATTTGAAAATACAATATGTTTCAATACTGCCTATACAGGATTATTACATTCCTTAGGGACGTCACGATACATAAGTTTCATGAATCGATACGTATCACGATACCCATGTCATGATTCGATACGTATCACGATACCTATTTTCGCGGCATTATTGCGTAAATTTAGTTACATTTTGAATATTAACATTTCATATTTTATAATTGTCCATGAAAAGATCAACATTTTTTATTCTCAGAGATTAAAAAGTTCGAATTTCCCATCTTTGTGCATGAAAAATAATCATTTATAACTCTCATAACATCAAAAAACATGATACAGTTGCAAAATGTAAACGATACATGAACATATTTAAACCCATACTTTCAAAACTAAATATCGATACTAGTGTATCTATAATTGTGTCGTCTTAGAAAAATTCGATGCATCGATGTCGTGGCATCCCTAAGTCATTCACAATGCGCAACGGAATCCACAAGTTGCATAATTCCATGTAATTCGTTGTACAGAGTTGCGTCCCTTTGGTACGGCAGGAATCTGTGATTAGGGGTTCGAATCCTAGTTCTTCCCTATTGTGTGTCTAGGCATTTAAGCACCGTACCCGTGTTCATGGGTTTCACCAAAGTGATAAATATATATAAGCATCGGATTTTCCTTCCACTTCGAGTTAACAAGGCGTGCGGATATAAATGTTCAAATCGGCGTTAAACCGACTCATTCATTCACCAAAACACAATCTCTAAATATAAACACCTTGTGTAGTTGGCATATGCCAGAGACAGAAGGACGATATCTACGTGACCAAGTATAGCTCCACCCAATTAATCTAGTATATAAATTGATTTGACCTTTTAAAACCACATCCCTAACCACAACGTCTAAAACGTACCTTTACGTCCATGCGTAAACACCAGGTATGAGTCAGATGGCTCGTGACGACAATGAAGGACGATGTCTACGAGCCAAAGTATTGCTCCAAACAATTATTTTTTTATTATTATTTATTTTATTATTGGATATTTATATAGCGCACATATCCACGCACTAGTCCATGCTCAAGGCGCTGGTAGTTTTTCTCTCGATCATTGGATGTCAATCTCAACTGCACATCTTATTATCAATCTCAACTCCCTGGGGATCATACAGCTCTTGCAGCCACTAAGCGCACCGAGTTATTGCGGCTTCCCCATCCGTACGAGGTACCCATTCACAGCTGGGTGGACTGGGACACATAGTCACAGTATTTTGTCCAAGTTTACTGCACGTTGCTATACCCGCAACTAGGTGTTTGCACGTATTCATGTGGCCACCATCTGGTCATATACCAACGGATTCGTGGGTTCTTTTAAGTGCACAGGGTTGTGTACTATATAATGTAGTATATAAATTGCAAATTGGTTTGACCTTAAAACCACAAACATACCGTAGCGTCTAAAACGTAAAGTTACGTCAATACGTAACATAAGGTATGGGCCAGTTGGCTCATGTCAGAAATGAAGGACGATGTCTACGTGCCAAAATATTGCTCTGCCCAATTAATCTTGCATATAAATCGATTTGACCTTTTATAACCACATACTATATCGTAACGTCTAAAACGTACCGTTAAGTCAATGCGTATCTACCAGGCATGGGTCAGTTGGCTCATGTTAATAATGACGGACGAAAGTCTACTGATGACTCCAGTTTATTGCTCCACCATCTCGATTGGTTTGACCTCAGTCAACTCTATATCTTTATGAATTCATGTCCAATGCCTAGCTATCAAAGCGGATTTCCTGCGGAAGTGGAATGTTTTTCTGCTGTGTATTACTTAAAATAGCCCACTGGGGAGTATTCTGGTCAGAATGAGCACTTACTGAGGCTATAAAGGGAACATTCTTCACCCAGCCATTGGGATGAATGTTGGCCTTATCGCCAGGGGTCTGATGGATCAACTCCAATGTAAATGAGTCTGTCGTGGACAGATTGGTGCTGTTTGCAAAGCCCTGTTAGGGACGTCACATACACTATGAGGGGGTACACAACGTCGCTCACATTTATCAAAGTCATTGGATGTTAATGTGTATATAACAAGGATACGGTTAATATTAATTTTAACAGCTCGTCATATTCTAATACTGGACTGATTAGGCTTGCACAAATCTCTAATGTAAAAATTAATAGTTTAAAAGATAATTTCTAAACATTAATAAATATCAGACTGGGGTCCTTAGATGTACTGTCCGCTTATCTAGACTTACCTCTTTGAAGATAGCATTACTTTACATCCATGGGCTCAGCATTTAGTAAAGCCTTGGAGCAAGGCTATGGACTGATGTATACAAGAGAAAATGAACATCGTTTTGTAGATTTTAGACAAATCCTTTTTAGAAATGTTAAATATGTAGTGTTTTTAATTAAAGTAGTAGTTTGTGTCGTGATGGAGTTTAAGCAAGTTAAGTGCAAAATAGGGACAGTGGCTATAGTTAAAAGCATCGGCTTCGTTGCACCGTACACAGTCTCATCCAGACAGAATTACTGTTGTGTGTGAAACAGGGTTTTTTTTAAATACGTCCGGCAAAACCTTTTCCTTTTGTAAATTATTGTTTGTTTGTTTTGTTTAGGCTTGCTGTTCTTGTTTTGGGTTGTTCAGGTTTGTTTTGTTTTTGTTTGTTTGTTGTTTTGGTTTTGGTTTTGGTTTTTGTCTTTTTGTTTGTTTTGAGTTTTTTGTTTTGTGATTTGGGGTTTTGTTTTGGTTATTTTGTTTGTTTGTTTTTTCTTCTTTTGGGGGGTTTTGGTTTTTCTTGTTTTGTTTTGTTTTGGGGTTGTTGTTTTTTTGTTTGTTGTTGTTTTGGGTTTGTTTGGGTTTTTGGGGGGGGATTAAAATGTACCTTTTCACATCACATTCGTCACAGCAACCAAACAACGTTTACAGTTCAAAACAAACAATATATAATACTAAACTTAAAAGAAATTCGATCCTAGTGTTGCGTTTATAAACTGATAAGTATAACTACACCATTATTATTATGACAATATTTTTCTGTTCCCTACAGCTTTGCTTGACTACGAGTTCCTCGCCTCCCTGGAACTGTGTCGACACTTTAGGGGGTCATGTGAGGCGAACTGCACGCGGTACTACCAGCACCGATGGGGGGGTGCCGCTCTGCCCGAACCTGGATCACAAGTGCTGCGTTCCGTCATCAGTAGGTACGGTATACATCTCTACACGAGTTGATAACTCATAACTAGAAAATAAATACTCATGGATTGGTTGGCTTGAAACGATACGATGGCGTGATAGAAATGATATCAAACAATGGATCACCTGGTCAAGACTCGATTATTTACAGGCCACCGTCATATAGCTAAGTGCGGCGTTAACATCAAGCTAACAAGCTAACAATTGCTGGCTACGTCATAGTTAACCTTTTTTCGTTGTAGTTGTCTGAAGATAGATCCTAAATTACCACAGACTATATTCCACCTACAATTCATTATAATCTTTAGTACCCGTGAAGATCCGGGTTAGAATATCGATCTTCAGCAACCAATGCTTGATTGTCTGGTCCAGACTCGATTATCTACAGACCGCCGCCATATAGCTGGAATATTGTTGAGTGCGGCGTAAAACTAAACTCACTCACTCACTATAATCGTGAGCATTCACGCAGAAGCTCGACTAACAAATAATGAAAATAATGATACCACCTCAATTTTTGGCTAACGAAGTTTTCTTTTATACACTGAGGTACAACAGTACACACTTGTCGCTTGGGGTTATTTTCCACAAAAACACCGTAACTATTGTGAAAAGTGTTTTGAATGTGTGTTACAAGTGACAAATTTAACATGATTATTTCTATGTTTATTTTTGGGGGGACATTTTCCCTAAATACCAGGTGTGTATTTTCTTGTGTACGTCAGTATATTTTCTTGGTTTATGTACACAGGAATAAACATTAGTCGTTTGCGAATTAATTATTTCTGTTTAAACATAATGGGAGAGGAAAATCCCGAGGGTTTATATGGTCATTTTTCACAAAAGAATACTAGTACTTTGTTTTGGATCCTCTATGACTTTAAATTATAGCAATATGTCCCAAGACATATGACTGTGCAATTGATAACAAGAACTGAACACAACTACATGTATATGCATGGTCTTCGAACAAGGATGCATGTACACGGTTTAGAGGTCTTCAAAATTGTGAACTGAGACTGTTTGGTGGTCTGTTGGTAGCTCTAAGGAAATAGAAACGAAACAAAATATATAAGTAAAGCACGGACACGTTCATGGTGACGTAGAGAGCATATTTCTATGAAGTGAGGGGCACAGGTCTTGCAGTTGGCCCAGGCCCCGTGTTCTTTGTGGGTTTGTGTTATTTATGCATGACATAATGCATTGCCCTGAGATTGTGTCATTAGAATACCGGGTTTTACCCTCGTTCTCATTCTTTGTTCTTGTAGCATCCTACCCGTGCTTGCGGGTATGATTATTAACCTGCATTGTATCAAGCGTCCCTCCCCTTGGAAGCAATACGTCAGTTATGCACGCATATGTGTTATTTATGCGTAACATCATGCATATGAACAATAATTAAAGTGCCCACTCGTCACGCCAGAGGGCGGGGTTCGAATCCAATATGAGTACAATGTGTCAAGTCCATTTCTAGAGTTCACGTACTCCAAGTGTAACTCATTTGACAGCCAAGTTCCTAATATATCTATGGACATACCACAGCCGTTGTACCTGTCAAAGCAAGAATACTAAATTAACTCTATCACAGAGTAGTTCCTCCTTGGTAACTCCCCCACCGACCGTTCCCATGTTTTAACCCCGGCTGCAAAATCATTCATATATACACCCACTCAGCAATCTGGACTCAGCATCAATCCTCTGGCACCTTGACCTAACGCACCACGGGCGCCTAACGCTGACGTCATGGGCTTCAAGAAATAAATATCTGTTCCACTGGAATCCTTTTCGAGCTCAATTTCACTAAACCTGGTGATCAGTGTCACAACTGTCAGAAACATAATGGTAATTGAAAATGATTCATTTCAAATTGTTTCACGCAAGTTTGTTACCGGTACGAAAATACACATTTCTTGAAAAGAGTCATCCTAACGATATTAGCTTTCCCAGTGACAGTAGACGTTACGTCACGTGATGAATTCATCACTCTAACAAAAGAGGGATTGGGTCAGTGTGAATATTTTCACTTGCAAATTCCATTCTCCTTCTGGAATGGCCTCGAGCAATGACTGACAATAGTGGTGGATTTCTTTGTCTGAGGAAAAGCATCAAATCCATAATGTAACTCAATATGGCGTCAATAGTCATGAGGTTGAGATGTAAGCATAACACAATCACTGAGCTTTACTTTAAATTGCACAGCCATCCTGTTAACACAGGTTTTACTGGCAAACCCATGCGTTGACGTAGGGTCATTTACATGTACTGGCTGACGTTCATTTAGTAATTATCATCTAATGGAGGGTGTTATCGGTGCAATAAAGCAATCTGATAAACTTGGTATCCAAATCTGATAACTATGCAAATTACGTCAATCCACGAACTACTTTCTCAAAACTCCATACATGCCATGCGGATCCTAAAACGTTTAACATTTCATTGATGACGTCGTCGCGAGTTTACATTGCGTGGACGAGTTTGTAAACAAACATGGCTGCCCCCATTATCAAAATTGGTGATTCTGTAAGAATTGATGACAGAGGTTCTGGAGTCGTTACTGCAGTAATTGACTTTGGAAAACATGAAACGGAGAACTTCGTTCAAATTGAAGGTACGGATTATGAGGCACGAGTGACAGGCTATCGTCTAAGAAAGGTACCAACCAAGGATTTCGATCTATTGATCACAACAAAGAAGACGACGAATCGATTCCGTCAGGTATCAGAAATTGATACTGATGAGGTGATTACCCGCAATGAAAATAGAAACACTACCAAGAAAACCCTGCCCGATTGTGTTGTTCTTTTTAGACAGAAAGATCGTATTTTAGGCATGAGTTATGTTTGCACTGTATTAGCAACTAGTCACAACCATAAGCCACCGTCATGAAAGACCTTCACCTTGGTGTACCGCTAAGTATTCTTACGCGAATGCTCGATTCTCTTCATATACGTACGATTTGCTTCTTTTTTAGAGTAATTTTAAGAATGACATGATATGATAAAGAGATTATTAAACGCGTGTGTTTCCGTATCATTAATATGATATATTTGGAATAAATATTGTATTATGCGAGCCTAATCTCTATATATGTAGTGAAATTGTTCATGTGTTGAAACTAACTGTGCAATATTCGATTGTGTACATTATCTCATGAGACACAAGCATATATTTCAGAATTCATTAACAAAACGATGCATCATTTTCAGTGATGTGGCCGTTGACGTACTCTATTGTTTCGGTTTGTTCCTATCGTGGGATGATGAAACCTATCTATACATTAGAAAACAGCCACGATGCGAGGTGCACAAAAACATGTCCTGTCATTTTGTCTGAATTCATATTGGCTTACGGAAGGAAAAATATGGCGATAGTTTTCCTCCACTCTACTGTGACCTCCCTGTGAGATGTAAACCGAAAACTCTTTTTGAATTCCTATTAAAAATCGAAAGATCACATAGTTCTATATTATCCCTTAAGGAATTCTTTTTACATAGGAGTGATACTTATACATGGACAAATTTGTGTTATAAAGACAAGATGACATATAAACCCAAGTTAGACAGCACTAAAATGGACAACATAAACTGATGATGTACACCAGAAAACAATGTCCTGTATTTTTTTCTAATAGTGAGTGAGTGAGTGAATTTGGTTTTACGCCGCTTTTAGCAATATTCCAGCAATATCGCGGCGGGAGACACCAGAAATGGGCTTCACACATTGTAACCATGTGGGGAATTGAACTCGGGTCTTCGGCGTGACGAGCGGACGCTTTAACCACTAGACTACCCCACCGCCCCTTCTAATAGTAAAATGCTAAGGGGAATGAAACACATTTAGGCATAATTTCGATTAATTTTCAAAATGAGAACAAATAAACGACGATAAAGGTGTATAATGAGGGATTAAAACGCGAGAAGGAACGTCCAAATTCTGTAGCTGGGCTAGAAAGTCTTATAGTTAAAGCTCGTATACATTGTGCGATTTTCCCTCCAGACTACATGATGCGAAGTGAAAACGAACAATACCAGCACTGAATACAGAAGATTAAAGCGGACCGAGTATAATTGCAACCATCAACATTAAAGGCACAATGTCACACATTTTCGACAATATTTTGGCAAACATTATAAATATTGGGGGCATATGCACTCACTTTAGCTTCCTATTCGTGCAATAAAAGACTTATTATACTGTACGACTTGCCTGAAACCGATAATTGAAACTTCGAGGCAAAGAGTTTCCAAACAGATAGTACTTGCCACATATGGAATGTAAACGAATGCTCCGTACATCGAAAACTGTGAACTTGTTTCAATCACAAGTTTGGATATTCGTAAAGAGCGCTCTAATGGACATAACTCTATGGGGTTCGCTTGAAATAATGTTCGGCCGTTAGAGGGCGCGAGAGTCGATTTAATGCAACGTTGCATTAATTCATTCGAATTAGAATTTGGAATAAATTATATGGTAGCTTCGCTGAGGGCTGATAGTTAGAATTATTGAGAGAAATGCATTATGTATTTTTAGAGAAATGTGATGTGACATTGTGCCTTTAAATGTCCTAACGCAGCACATCTTCCTGCCTGCGCGAACAAAGGGTCTTTATCTTTTCCTAAGACAAGAAACACCATGGGAACGTTTTACCTTTCATCATTGTATTCTAACATCTTATTCGATCGATTAGAACTAATGCTTGTGTAATCAGCTACAATGGATCATCGTTAAGAAAATGATAATGAGATTTGTGATGTTTCTTCAGGTGGCGATTCTAGCAATGACACTACTACACCAACATCAACGACGGTGATGACAACAACAGTGCCTACTACAACGACGACGACGGCGAAGATGATGTCGCTTGACACTGGAGCGTCTACCGGAGGATTTGTATTGAACGCTGGGCAGAATTGTAAGAGCAGTGTAATTTAATGAGAGAAAAAGTATGATATGTAGAAACAAAACGTACCTGTGTATATGATACTGAAACAATATGTATGAATTAAACAGCGAATGAGGTAAAATAGATAGCGAATGAGTGTGGCATGTACAGAGAATTAATTACAGAGAGAATAAGAGTGATATACTGAGAAGGTTAGTGTGAGAATACTGTTGATTTACAGGCAGGATACATCTGATATACAGAGAAAATAAGTGTGATTTAAAGGTAGAATAAGTGTGATTTAAAGGTAGAATATGTGTGATTTAAGGTAGAATGAGTGTGATTTAAAGGTACAATATGTGTGATTTGAAGGTAGAATATGTGTGATTTCAAGGAAGAAAATGTTTGATTTAAATGTAGAATATGTGTGATTTAAAGGTAGAATATGTGTGATTTAAAGGTAGAATAAGTGTGATTTAAAGGTAGAATATGTGTGATTTAAGGTAGAATGAGTGTGATTTAAAGGTACAATATGTGTGATTTGAAGGTAGAATATGTGTGATTTCAAGGAAGAAAATGTTTGATTTAAATGTAGAATATGTGTGATTTTCAGAGAGGATGAGTGTGATATACAGGGACAATATATGTGTAATTTAAAGGTAGAATATGTGTGATATACAGGGAGAATATGTGGGATGTACATGGAGAATATGTGATATGCAGAGAGAGTGAGTGTGATATACAGGTAGAATATGTGTGACTTTCAGATAGAATTAGTATAATATACAGGAAGAATATATGTGTGATTTAAAGGTAGAATGTGTGTGTTTTAAAGGTAGAATATATGTGATTTAAAGGTAGAATATGTGTGATTTTCAGAGAGAATGAGTATAATATACAGGGAGAATAGATGTGTGATTTAAAGGTAGAATATGTGTGATTTAAAGATAGAATATGTGTGATTAAAGTTAGAATGTGTGTGATTTAAAGGTAGAATATGTGTGATTTAAAGGTAGAATATGTGTGATAAGCAGAGGGAATGAGCGTGATATACAGGGAGAGTATGTGTGATATACAGATAAAGAATGTCATAATTTAAATTAAACAACGAAGTTGTATTAATGGAGTGTTTACATTTGTTTTGCTCGAGTTTCTTTTATTTTCACAATCAATATACAAAATATTGAAGATCACTTACGCCTTCTTGTTTTTTCAGCGGAGTGCGGTCGGACAAACCCGATTCACCGCCGGAAGAGGATCGTTGGCGGAAGTGTTGCCGAGCCAGGGGCGTGGCCGTGGCTGGTGGCCTTGAGATCAGCGCTTGGAGGTCACGTGTGTGGCGGTGCACTGATTGGTCAACAATGGGTTGTTACAGCTGCTCACTGCTTCAGACAGTGAGTAACAATGAATACACTTAATGTTGATGAATGCACTTATTGAACATGTGAATGCACATTGTGTAAAGGTTGGAAGAAAGCACATCATATTTTTATGTCATGAACATAGAATGTATGGCGTACCCTGCAAACGTCACGTTGGCCAGTCCTTGTTCATTTCGGTTTCTTCAAAATCATCTTTTGCCACCAACAACCACTACAGTAACAACATAAAGCGGTTGCAAGGATGGCCGAGGATTATATTTCATAAACAGAACAAAACTATGCAACGTAAACGCAAGAGAAAACCCAGTATCGTTTATAGCCCAAAACAGATTCCATTCTGCCTACTGTAAATGTCTAAATAAGGTGAAAATTAAACGAGAGGGCTGCTGCAACCCATAGGTGACACCACGTATTCACGAAAAGGGGTATCTCCTGTCCTGTCAGTAGTACCCGCCACTGGCCGAATTTGGACAATAAATGAAGGTACCATGTCCATGCCAGTAGACAAACCACACGATCAGGTGACCAGAGGATACCGTGACACGAAAGCCTTGATACTAATTTTGTTGAAACGATATGTTGTTGTTTAGTGAAGAGACATATGCTGCTTAGTGCTTATACGTAACGAAAAAGAGTTAAGCAATGCGTGCATGTTTACAACAGAGTAAGGTGGCATTACATTTCCTTTGCAAGTGACCCAGAATCGATAAATGCTCCTGAACTACTGTAAAGTCAGTACTTAAAAATGACTCTGCCTTTTTTTGACCCGTGAACATCAGGGTAAGAATTGATCTTGCTTGTCGTAAGACGCAACTAACGGGATCGGGTGGTCAGGCTCGCTGACTTGGTTGACACATGTCATTGTATCCCAATTTCGTTGATCGATGTTCATGCTGTTCATCACTGGATTGTCTGTTCCAGACTCAATTATTTACAGACTGCCACCATATAGCTGGAATACTACTGACTAAACTCACTCACTTGTGTTTTCTTTTTTCAGCTAAGAAACATTTTGATAACGTTTTTAATTCTTTGGTGCAATTGTTTAATTTCTTTTGCCTTACAATTCAATTAATCTCTGAACACCGTACAATGAATTATTTATTTCATCGTTTTAGATTTATGTCTCCAAACATGTGGCGTATTAGAACTGGAGAATATCATCTCTTACGCACTGATGACAGCGAGGAAGATCTTCCTATTTCCAATATTTTTGTGGTGAGTAACATTGTTAAATTTTTATTTTACATCGTATTCATCTTCCGTCATTCACTTGTTGAAACATAAACTCATTAACTGCCAGTGTTCTGTACTGTTACATCCCCTGACTATATAATGAGTGTAACAAGCATGGCAATCCTATGTGATCTCTTTAAACACAACCTCTGCCAATAGATGATGTTCATGTTTTCACATTTGGATGTAAGACAGATACATTATTTGCAACTTGTAGTCACAAACTTAAAAAGGTTCATGCCTTTTCTTGTAATGAGGGGCGGTATGGTAGCTTGGAGGATACAGCGTCAGCTCGTCTCGCCAAGGTCCCTTGTTCGAATCTAACAATTACAATTTACAAAAGCCATTCCTCTTGTCCTGGGCCGTGAGATTTCTAGAATAGTGCTAAAAGCAGCGTAAAAACATACACTTACTCACTCTTGTCATGATATCGAAACTCACTCACTAACCCATGTCATGAACAAATCCCCTTCTTAAAATGAAAATGTTCGTCTCTGGTTTGCAATACATTTGCTTTCACGACGATTATTTTTCAAAAACGCACTGTTCTTTACGATGGTCCCCATTCGGAACCACCTGACATAGCCCTTCCCTGCTTTCAAATAACCACAATAGTGAGATAATGCACAGTGAAATCCTGTTGTTTCAGACGTTATCTGTTCTGGAGTCACTGATGCCATGGTTACGGAAGCATAGTTCTCTGTATAAATGTATACGTTCAACTCCAAAAGTACATAGAAAGCGGAGTTTCCGGATAAACGGCACTACTTCTCTCTGACGTACATTTTCATGTTTACCACTGAAATTGGTATTAGTTGAGATGTGTTTTATAATCTGTATACTTTTCCCATGCTATTCTATTAGCTGGATTTGAGCATTATAACATAATCAGTTATATAACTGTATCTTGGAAGATATTCCAAAGTCAGGCAAGTTTTCGACATTTTACCTCGACATTTTACGACCTCAGTGAAACCTACAAACATGAGTGAGTGAGTTTAGTTTTACGCCGCTTTTAGCAATATTCCAGCAATATCAAGGCGAGGTACCCCAGAAATGGGATTCACACATTGTACCTATGTAGGGAACCGAACCTGGGTCTTCGGCATGACGAGCGAACGCTTCAACCACTAGGCTAACCTACCGCCCCCATACGAACAAGATGCTATCGAAGACTCATAATTAGAGCGAATCTTGGATTCGAACACGCGATCGCAGATTTCTGGAATACCGTTTACTTATCAACGACAATGACATGCTTATAAGCATCAGTTTCTTTGATATAGGTTAACTTGGCGTTCACAACATACAAATTATGAATATGCATTTAAGGTCTCGTTATGACTGAATAGTGTCCCTTTATCGAAGCAGCATCCTTCTATATTTTATCATTTCTCTAATATACGAGAAATGTAAATCATCAACGCCTCAGATTAACCCGTCTCGATATTCGCTGAAACTGATTTCATTGGAGGTGAGGTGAAATTGGGTTTAACGTCGTGCTGGAGAATATTTCGCTCATATGACGACGTGCATGCGTGTGTATGTGTATGTTCGGCTGCTTGTACTAGCCCAGACTTAAGCCAGTTTTATAGTGCTAGCCCACTGAGATACCATGCCGCAGTGAAGCATGAATACCCCACTCAGACACATTATACTGACTCCGAGCCTACCAGTCCTTCTTGTACCCATTAATGCCGAGCGGCAGGCAGGGACCAACAAGTACCATATTTTAACGTCTTTTGGTATGACGCGGTCGGGGATCGAACCAGCGACCTTCCGCTCTCCGGGCGAACCGTGTCCTTTCTTACCTGACACTTTTGGTGGAATATATGTTGTGCTTAAATGGTATCAAGACAAAACGTAACTCTCTTTTTCAGTTCCCACAGTATCAGTTTAACCCCAGTAACTCCTCCGACGACAACAGCACTAACCAGTACGTCCGCTACAAACACGACATCGCCTTGGTCAAGCTCAGAGAGACTACCAATACCATGCCCATATGTATCGCGCAACCGGATGTTGGGGACCCGGATGAGAACCATTCCGGCTCCGGTCCAAGTGCTGGTTCCGGTGTTGATCCGTTCCTGACCATGGGGAGAATTGAGAGGAGAGGCGACTGCTGGGTGACGGGATGGGGATATACAAATGGTACGACACAGATGGAGTATATGTATCTATCGTAGGTTGTTTAAATCATTCATTTGAAGATTGTTTGGTTTCGGGTTGTTTTTGGTGGGTCGGAGGTATGTGGATGAGGGGTTGGGGTGAGGTATTTTTGTTTTATTTTGGGTATGGTTTGGGGTTTTGTTATTTTCGATTGTAGTTTGTTTTGTTTGTTGGTTTGGATTTTTTTGGTTGATGTTAGTTTTTTGTTGGTTTGTTGTTTATGTTTGTTTTGTTGTTTTGGGGGGTTAGGGGGGATTGGTTTTGGATATGGTTTTTTCTATTTTTTTATTCTTTTTAATATTTGGGGTGGTGGGGGGTGAATATTTTTCTATCTTATTTTGGTGGTGGTGGAGACGATTGGGGAGGGGATTGGATGCTGTTTTTCGCCATATCGTCGTTTGTGGTAGTTTTCTGTGTAATCTATGCCACTGTATAGGTTTCCAGTTGTCTGAGGCGTCGGAAATCGCTGAGTAGTGTTACGATCCATGAGCAAACGAGAAATATTTGGTCATGGGCTCCAACACCGGATATCCCCGGTTATGTATTCTTTGTTTGTCAGCTTTATACCCCGGCATAGGGGCAAAATAAGTGTCTGGCAAACAAATGGTTCTCCTCCCATAATATGGTGACACGACGTGCTATACATGAAACACCGTTAAACTGGCGTCAACCCTTTCTCACTGTCTGCCATTGTTTTACTGTGCCCGAAATACGTATCTGTGTCCAGTCTCTACACCACTTCACAAAACGGTAGAACAGCTGGTCATCTAAATGAATACTATTTCGTGGTCTCGTGAGCTCCAAACTGAATCTTAAGTAGTCGGGATACACTAAAACATATTGTAGTCCCAGAATATTCAATTGTTATAGCTCAAAGGTGCGTCCTTAAAGAGCGTAATTGGACCTTGAAGGAGGATACTAACAAACCCATATGACTTAAATATAGACTGGATGTCTCAAGTATCCACAAGATGGTTGTTTATCGACTACTGTTGTCAATTTAATGTCATTTTCATCTAATATGATGCTCAACAGTTTTGTAAAATAGGTTTTAATTTTTTAAAGATAATGTCTAAAATTCTTAGAATACAAGGACGCACCACCGTGCAAGAACAACTGGCTGTGCACGATATTTCTGTATTATAAATCATGTTCTGTGAATACGTGTAGGAACTGAATAGGCGTGTACAGAGAGACGTGAAATGTCTTTAACTGTATCACGAAGTTTGATGACTAATTAGTGATTTCTCATTAGTTAAACTCTGCTGTGACATCGCTGTTAAGCACCACATGAAAAAAAATTGGTTGTCAGTTATTCCTACATTATCGTGCGCCCGCATTCAATTAATATGCACACGGAATTGACATTTGACATTCAAATGTCGGTTCTTGCGTAAGAAGATACATGTATTCTTACATTCTCGTTAACCGATGGACCCGATCTGGGTTAGAGCTGGTCTTCAGTAACCCATGTCCTAAGTGGTGACTAACGGGATCGGGTGGTCAGACTCGCTGACTTGGTTGACACATGACATCGTATCCCAATTGTGTAGATCGATGCTCATGTTGTTCATCACTGGATTGTCTGATCCAGACTCGATTATTTACAGACCGCCGCGCTATAGCTTGAATATTGTTTAGTGCTGCGTAAAACTAAACTCACTCACTCACTCACTCGCTCACTCATTAACCGATAGACAATCTTGCTGCCAGACCGTCAATAGACAATGCGCTTCTACCTTAAGTGAGTGTGTGGGTGAACCACCGCTTTCAGCGGTATTCCAGAGGTGATGCAAGTCGCACACCAATGTCCCTTCTTTACATCCTCGTGGGTAAGGTGCTGACAAACCTAGAAACACAACGGACCGAACTGGGATTCGAACCTACCATCAAAGCTTGCCTAAAGGACGCATCCCTGTGCAACGACTTACGGCACCTTAGACAGGTCAGCCACAAAGCCACTTCTACGTTAAGTCTGTGTTAAAGTAAAGGAGTTGCGACAGGCTTTGTACTAACAACCCGTAAAGATCCTGGTTAGAATTGATCTTCAGTAACCCGTGCTTGTCATAAGATGCGTCTAACGGGATCGGGTGGTCAGGCTCGCTGACTTGGTTGACACATGTCATCGTATCCCAATTGCGTAGATCGATGCTCATGCTGTTGACCGCTGGATAATTTAGAGACCGTCGCCAAATAGTTGGGATATTGCTGAGTGCGGCGTAAAACTAAACTCACTCACTCATTTGGTACTAACGTCGCTTTCTAAACCAGGCTCCAGTGCTGAAATGTAAGTTACATTTCTGCATGTATCGCGCAAATTCAGACGTTCAATATAATTTGTAGAACTCTTCGAAGTGTTGACAGTGGACGTATTGTTTATTCATGAGCAGATGATACAAGCGACATGGTGATGAGGCAGGTCCATGCAGATCTCGTTGGACACCGAGACTGCGGCGAGATGTGGCACACACAGCTGGATGATGACATGATCTGTTTTGGAGATGGCGTGCACGGTCCGTGTCAGGTACGCCAGACACTCAGTCTATCGATATAGACAAATACCCTTGTGTCGAAGTTTGATGTGTCGAATTTAAGGTTGTCTTGAAGTCGAAATCAAATTCGCGCATGATATTCATATTAATCATGTGTGAGCTGTGACGAACCACTGTTTACTCGAAGTATATACAGAGGTACATCTAACTTCGACACAAGGATGTTTGGCTATATGAGAATAACATAAATCTCCACTATACCCTGGATGCATCTACGGATCGGCTGGATAATTTTATTACCTCCCTTTGCTGGCTCCATCTTCTCACAGTAGCCAATCAGATAAGCCGTTACAACCGAGCTTGCCAGTGTCAACAAAGATGGTGGTCGCAGCCGCGAAGGTTTGCTCGCTGTAAGAACTCAGATTTAGGAAAAGAAATCATACAGACAAATTGACAGGTCTGAAAAAAATATATATGCAAGAACTCCTTCTCCCTCTTAATATTAATGTTTACCGAAGAAGCGGAAGTGAGTTATGGTAAAAGCTTTGTGATTGGTACGCTCAACTTCCCAGCGTAGACACCTTATTGGATAAAAAACCAGCAAAGTGAGGTAATACAATTATCAGACCGAGCCGTAGATGCATAGTATAGTAGAAGATATAGTGGAGATACATCGGAACGTATACCCTGGAGATTATCGAGGATGCTGCTTGTGCAAACTTCAGGTTCAGTCTGCCAGTCCGTCTCTCTCTCTCTCTCTCTCTCTCTCTCTCTCTCTCTCTCTCTCTCTCTCTCTCTCTCTCTCTCTCTCTCTCTCTCTCTCTCTCTCTCTCTCTCTCTCTCTCTCATTCTCTCTCTCTCTCTCTCTCTCTCTCTCTCACTCTCTCTCTCTCTCTCTCTCTCTCTCTCTCTCTCTCTCTCTCTCTCTCTCTCTCTCTCTCTCTCTCTCTCTCTCTCTCTCTCTCTCTCTCTCTCTCTCACTCTCACACTCTCTCACTCTTTCTCTCTTTCTCTCTCTCTCTCTTTGATGTCAACCTCTATCTCTTCCTCTCTACGTCAACCTCTATCTCTTCCTCTCTACGTCAACCTCCTTCGTTGTCTAAGTAAACATCCATACAGCAGTTGGCATCAGCTGTTGTCAGATTTCCAATGAATGGCGTGTACCTTGGGTATTTAACTCATTTTATAAGGGATGAAAAGAGGAAGGCTGAAAAGATGAATGGTGACCTTTAAGCGGCTCTGGATGAAAGTGAGCCGTGTATTGATTGTGGCGCGTATTCGTTTGTTGTAGTTTTCAGTATTTCGACTTTACACCGTTGATCTCTTGGTAGTTGTGATGAGGCTCAGCGTTTCTGTGTGACATATAGAAGGCCAATACTTCTCACTTGAACCGCTTCTCACCCATTCATTAATTTCGTTTTAATCGATCTGCTTTACAAAATAGTGCATTATTTCAACCCGTCTTTGTTAAACAATGTCGCCAGAGTTTATTAATGATAGGACAAAATTTTATTTTTAAAAATCAAAGCAGTGAGGCAAAACATGAATCAGTTTAATGACTAAAGGATCTAAGGTTTAAGCCACTTTTTTACGAAAACTATTTTGGATGATCATCATCGCTATAAATGTTGACGTCACAATTACGCCAAGAGTTCATTCCTAATTTGACTTTCAAAGGTCTGTTGAAAGGGTAAACTCTTCGCAAGTCCTATCGATTTGTTCGGGGGCGACATCAGTTTTGAGTTATGATTGTTCTTCAGGGCGATTCCGGCGGTCCCTTGTCTTGTCGGTACAATGGCAAGTTCTACCTCACTGGAGTCGTGTCCTGGGGGACTGAGAACTGCGACGTCAGTGGCTACCCAAGCGTTTTCACGCGTATCAACGCCTACCACGACTGGATCCAGAATGTCATGGAAGAAAATAGGGGGTGAAAGACAGTTGTGCAATCGGAGTTAGCGTTGATGAAGACCATGGCCATAGATTGATGCTGAAGAAAGTCTCCTTGAAGAATTCTAAACGGTTTGGAACAATCTCAATTCTGGATATTCTACAAGAGATTCGTTGATATCTATGGGATTCAAGTCACATTACAGCTAAACAACGAGGTTAAAAATATTTCAAAACGATTTAGCTGATATATTATAAAAACGGGACAGTCGTGGGAATGCTTGAATATAGTTCTGTGTGATCGGAAAGACTTCAAATTGGAAAGGAACCGAAACGTTCCTGAATGTGTTGAACTTTACGAAAGAACTTTATTGGTTTATGAAATGACTGCATTCAAAAATACCACAACACAAAATATGAGTCTTTCCTACAATCACAAGGCATATCCTTCTGGATAATGTACGATTTGGTCTCATGATCGACTTACACGATGACATCCGAAAGACTGCTAAAACATACACGTAACTGCAGAAGGCATACATAAAGGCAATCAGTTCTGTTATACGTATCAATTCTATGCGACAGAAACGTAACACATGTTTCTTACGTTCAGCTTGTTTACAAGTATAATTATATATAGCGTTAAGAGTTTTCGTTTGAAAACATGAAACATGCATACTCAAATATAACAATACTTCAAAGGCACACTTACACCTGACAATGCTTCAAAGCTGATACTGCATGGGGAAAATATGCACGAAATATGTTCATTATCTTTGTGATATTACCCGCGAAGGATTTAACTGCAGTTAGGACAATTTTAGAGACGTCAAAATCTTTAAAATAATTTGTATAGAAGCTCAAAGCTATATTTCATTCTATTAGTGCAATTGTGTAAGCACCCATATCTCAAGGTATATTTCTTTAGTGTGTTCGCCATGTATTTGGGTTTCACTTTCAAATAAACATCATACACGAAACGTCACTTTATTCTGATTAAGACATTCGTCATGAAATAGAGCAGTATCAATGAAAGAACGAGCTTTAAAATTGTAAATTTAATCAATTAAAACTTATCCCTACCCGAAGTATGTTTTCGTCCTGTAATTTAAGTATGATATTGTTTTTCCCTTTAAAAGAAGTCTATTTTTGTTAAATTGAAATATGACATTGTTTTCCCCTTCTTGAAGTATTCTTTCCCTCCAATTGAAATATGACATTGTTTTCCCTTCTTGAAGTATTCTCTCCCTCTAATTTAAATATGACATTGTTTTCCCCTTCTTGAAGTATTATTTCCCTCTAATTGAAATATGACATTGATTTTCCCCTTCTTGAAGTATTCTTTCCCTCTAATTGAAATATGACATTGTTTTCCCCTTCTTGAAGTATTATTTCCCTCTAATTGATGTATGGCATTGTGTTCCCCTTCTTGAAGTATTCTTTCCCTCTAATTGAAATATGACATTGATTTTCCTCCACTTGAAGTAATTTTTCTTTATATGAAATATGACATTGCTTTTCCCCTGCTGACAGTATTTTTTAATTGGAGTACGACATTGTTTTCCCGCTACAAGAAGTATGTTTTTCCTCTACTTAAAGTGTGTTTGTGTCCTGGGTTAAACAGGTTATCAACAAATGATAACTTTAGTTTTGTTTATAGTCTTAGTTCCTGTTCAAATATCAAGTGGGCGTACCAGCCAGGATAATTTATCATGTGATGAACGTGGAAACGTCAGTAAGATTCTGTCAGACACATGACATTATTGTTTATAAACGGGCATAAACTAAGGTTATCGTGTTTGATACTTTCGGAAATGTGTTAAGAATTATTACAACATTTCAGGTTCCTGAATGTGACAGTGCCAGGAGATTAGTCTGGCGCGAGATAAGTATTCCTCGAGGAATGTTATTTACTTACATCCCCGTTGATCAGACTCGTGCCAATCGTGCTGTATATTTTCTGCAATGGTGTACATACTTTTACAGAATCAGTTAATTTATTGACACAACGACCACATGGTCAGAACCAGAGTGTGACGTAGTATTTATGAACATTCCTGTATTCTACTGATAGGCAGTACGGGTGGAACCATATCAAAGTAGGCACTTATCTATTTGACGGACGGTACGTACATGTTCGTAATTAGACATCTGGTGCATATTAATACGTGAATGAAATAACAATATAAGCATGTAAATTACATAACTTCTTCTCAAAATACAAATACAGCATATCGCCAGATATATTAAAACGATGCTCAATGGCAATTTGTTTTGTTTTTATTTAATCTAAGAAATAGTTTTAAATGATCACGTACAGAAAGCCATGAAATCATTTTCTTATCCAACAGCAGTACCTGTTCAAACACAATCAAGTGTTTAAACCTTTTCATAAGCATGTGTTTATGAATCAATATCACACTATGATGTTCACGAAAGAGTGTGATTATCTTGCCCCACAAGAGAGAAATTGTGTGTCCCTAAAGGTAAAACATTTTTCAAAGTCAATATTCCGTATACATAAATGTTGATGCCAAAATATTATTTCTATTTCGTTGAATGCTATATACAGTGTGAGACATTATCGTGTGATTCAGACTCACGATTCTGTCGTGTAGACCGATACTTGAAAGCATTTCAGATATACTCGCCATAAAATGGGGATAAAACGCCACACACACACCATCACCACCTTGAGATAACTTCATCACTCAAAACTTCATAACTTCATCAAGACATTCGTTTATAAGGCTTGGGCCGGACAGAGTCATTTTCCCATGACAATTTGAGAGAGTCTAAACCACTTCTCTTGAAGTTCCTGGGCCAGTTCGAATAACGTAGAGGACTTTGACATTGGCGCATACGTCACCTGCCGTCCCAAACGTGCTCCACGGCGCGGTTGGGATACGGGTTGTTGATTGGTGTGGGTGAGTGAGTAGTTTTACGCCTCGTTTAGCAATATGCCCGCAATATCACAGCAGTGGACACCAGGAATGGGCCGCAAACACTGTACCCATGTGGGAAATCAAACCCGGGTCATCGACGTGACGAGCGAACGCTATAACTACTAGGCTACCCCACAGCCCCTTGTTGGTGGGAAGTATGGGCTGAGGAAGGACAGAGCAAACCCTGACCGGTCTGATTAGTGTGGTTTTGCGTACAATGTGCGATGTCTTTTTCTTCTTCCTTATACATATGTGGAATTTAGAAGAGGAACAATAATTATGAATAGACAGCTTCTTTATGTTAGGATCTACACCGAAACGTCGCATCTAGTGCAATAAAGTTGTCTATCCATAATAAGTGCTCCTCTTCAATGTGCAGTGTGTCCTTGATATAGGGGAAGTCGTTTTTCAAAGGTCGTCTTTATTCTCATAACCGATCCCTTACTTATCTTGGAGAGCATATATACAGCCCTGCCATACTACATCGTTCATGTTTCACACATATCAACATACAGCATGGTTAAAAAGGGTTGTCACGCGAATGTGTTTTGTGATAATAAATAGCCTGGGTCTTTAATAATTATAGTATTTAATGAGTGTTGTCGACATAAACGTTCAAAATAGGCAAGGAAGGGTACAACAGCTGAACCATGCCATGTCCAGACTGCTCTTGCAATAATCCTAATCCAATACAAAACACCCTACAGATGAGCGTTTTGTGGTTGTTTCCATGGTAGCAAAACTACGCGAAGTTACCATGGTGTATTTTCAAATGCAAAGAATGAGCACTTCATTGCAACAATTCACAAGTTTCCTCAGAATCAAAATAGACATGGCGTAAATGCTTGACCAGGTGATTCTTTCGCTGCTTGTTTTGGAAACCATGACTGTTTATCTTGTGCAGATCGATCAATATCAATATCAATATCACTATCAGTCCAGAGTGCACTCCAAGGATCAGGTCATTAGCATGTCGTTACGATTTTCACAAACATCCAGTTGTTAACAGACATCAGATTCTGATATCATTTTCATTTTCACGGACAATTTTACACCCCATGGAATCTGCGCCGACAGATACTAATCGATATTGATCATTCTCCGGCTTTGAAGTTTCAATTTTCAAACAGAAATATGAAAGGACTCACCTGGTTCATCCTGAATTGAACATATCGAAACATAACATGGACAATTGTCGTTCATTCTTGTGGTGGAGTGTGTGAGTGAGTATGGTTTTACGCAGCTTTTAGCAATATTTCAGCAATATCGCGGCGGGGGACGCCTGAAATGGGCTTCCCACATTGTACCCATGTGGGGAATCGAACCCGGGTCTTCGGTGTGACGAGCGGGCGCTTTAACCACTAGGCTACCCCCATCGCCTTCTTGTGGTTGAGGGCCATATGGACACGTTAGTTCAGAAAGGGATTGGATTTGTTCCAAATGAGTTTGTGTTTTGTTTGTTGTTTAACGCCTACTGAACAATGTGGATGATGGTTCAATGACCCTGAATATTCGAGTCGGTAACACAACCCAGTGATTGAAGTCATGGGCATCGATTTATGCAGGATACTATAACAGGCCTCCGATTCCGCGATCACCTCCTGGGACAAGCAGGGGCTGCTTAACATCAATAACATCAATTCTAACCCGGATTTACTGGACTCACAAAAGAAGATAACAGTTGAAAGTGTGGGTACTGAGTGAGTGAGTGAGTTTAGTTTTACGTCGCACTCAGCAATATTCCAGCTATATGGCGGCGGTGTGGGTACTGAGGACGAACTCAAGCATGTTGTACACAGAACACTCAAGTGAACGTTTTTCACAATAGGAATAACATTATCTTTCTTTCAGAAGGAGTCGGCAGGCAGCTTAGTGGTTAAAGTTATCATGTGAGTGAGTGAGTTAGGTTTAACGCCGCACTCAGCAATATTCCAGCTACATGGCGGCGGTCTGTAAATAATCGAGTCTGGATCATACAATCCAGTGATCATCAGCATGAGCATTGATCTACGCAATTGGGATACGAACCAAATCAGCGAGCCTGACAACGCAATCCCGTTAGTCGCCTCTTACGACAAGCATGGGTTACTGAAGATCAATTCTTACTCGGATCTTCACGGGATTAAAGTTATCAAGACCAGGATTCGATCTTAATGTGCTACAGTATGTGAAATCAAATTTCCACCACCTGCAGCTGCCTTGCGAACATTCTACAAAGGTCAAGGTCAAGAGTACGTTGAAATTATACATATTCCCTTAAACCACAAAATACATTAAGAGGCTTCTTACATGACATCTACAGTGGGTATTCATGTTCTACGCCGCAGTGTTTCAGCAGTATTTCAGTTTTTAGGATGTTTTTCATTGACGCAGGCTAGGTATTAAACGTTTTGTCATACAAAAGATCTTCACAGGGAGGAATGTGGGATTCGAACTACTAAAGGTCGCAACACTCCACAGCGAACTGTGGCTCCATGGGTCATGGGCACAATCTATGTATTTTCTGGCAATAAACCTGTCTGTTTTAACATGCCTAAAACATTACTCTCAGATGTAGTGTTTAAAAAGTATTCTTGTTTCCTTCTTAACAATATTACCCGTGAAGATCAGGGTTAGAATTGATCTTCAGCAGTAACCCATGCTTGTGGTAAGAGGCGACTAACGGGATTGGGTGGTCAGGTTCGCTGACTTGGTTGACACGCCATCGCATCCCAATTGAGTAGATCGATGCTCATGCTGATGACCACTGGATTGTCTGGTCCAGACTCGATTATTTACATACGGCCGCCATATAACTGGAATATTGCAGAGTGCGGCGTAAAACTAGACTCACTCACTCACTCTTAACAGTATTAAGAAGACAGTAGCCTCCCTCCAGGGATAATGTACTCGATAAAGATATATATTTGATGCAGCTAAAAACAAAGGGGGAAAGGGGCGAAGGGTTGGCCAACTGGTGAATGGGTTCACTCGTCACGGCAATAGCCCGGGTGCGAATTCGGTTTGTTTTGGAACAATGTGTTAAGCCTATTTCT